AGTGTCGAGAGCCATTGTCCTTGGGGTGCTCTCTGCCACGTGTGGACTTGCTCTGAGGCTGTGCATCCCAGTGAGTGAGTGAGTGAATGGATGTGGTCCCCACTGCTTGATTTTGTGCTGTGACCCTGCTGAGGAGCTGGCTCTGTCCCGTGACAGCACTGGGCTGGGGGTGCAAATCTGTTTCTTCTGAAGAATCTTTTTCTGCTTTTGGCCATGGAAGTAAAGTTTTATTTATTTATTTTTGTATTTTAGGGAAGGGTCTACAGGGTGTTTAGGGTCTCACTGCTAGATCGGACTCATAGTGATCCTTCTGTTTACGGCCTCCCAATGCTGGGATTACAGGCACGAGCCATCACGCCCAGTCTCAGTTGCCATCTCAGCACGCCCCAGGGGTGGGGCTGGCACGGCAGGCGCTTTAATCTGCCGAGCTATTTGGAAGTAAAATTTTAAACTTGCCTCAGTTTATAAAGTAACTAGTCAAGGGCTGTACTTATTTATTTATTAATATTTGTAGATCATAGATTTTTTGACATAAGGGTGATCATACAAGTCGTTTTGATAAGGGCTTCTGTTTTGTTGTGGTCTTTTCATTCTGTATGTTGGCTTGGTCTTCTTTCCTTGACTGGGCTTTCTGAACCTTACTAGTCTTTCTCCCAAGGACGTTCTGGTTGTGCTGAGGCGTCCTTGTGTGTGTCTTTGGTGTTAGGGAGGGCCTTGCATATGCTAGGTCGGTGCTCACCCTGAGCTACCCCCAGCTCTGTGGACTTCCCTGTGCAGTCTCAGGCCCAGATGGCCCACTCAGCGCTTGTGGCAGGTAGCCATTGTGTGTTAACACCTTCCTGTGACTTGAACTTCCAGTGGTGTCAGCCGCTCAGTGGGACAGGTGTGCAGGTCCATCCTGTCATGGACGCCTTATAGTGTTCATGTCAGCTTGTTTCCAGGAATCCTTCCCACTGAGAGTCCAGCAAGTGCTTGAGGCTGGTGCTCTGGGGATTCCTCTTATTTCTGGACACCTTCCCATGTTCCTTCCGACTTGTCTGTGACCTCTGTGGAAGTGGGCATCATGGTTGACATGAGCTGGCACCCTTTAGGTTGCTTTCTGTGTCTCTCTCCAGCCTTTTGTGGCCTGTGTGTCTCACTGAAGACTTGCTGAGTTCTGTTAGTTGGTGTCTTTTCTGTATAATGCTCATGTCCATGTAGAGCTGGGGAATCGGTTCCATTCCCTTTCCCTCTCTGTCTAATCTTGAGTTTATCAGACTCCTGTTTACATGAGCCCTAAAAATAAGTCTGATAAGAACTTAACAATGCATTGAGTTAGAGTCTGGCTTTCTTTTCTTTTTACCTCCCTGTGGTCTTGGGATTAGCCCAGGGCCTCCTGCATGCTGGACAGGTGATCTGCCACTGAGCTGCTTCGCCAGCTGAACTCTTGACATTCTTTACCCCAAGGTCTTAGAGGTGACACACACATACTTGTGAAGGTGATGTATTGGATCTAGGGGCACTGGCCCTTGACCCAGCACTGCCTCCCAAGGCCTGGATGTCCTCCACCCTGGCTGCCCTGTCGACCAGTGTCCTGGCACGAGTCTCCATGAAGCTGTGTTGTGAGTTCAGCTGAAGCACTTGAGGTTTCTCCATGCACTCAAAACAAAGGGGCTGCGTGCGAACGATTAGCTGTGAGTGATCTTTGGTGGGCTGCATCTCTGAACAGGATGGGGTTTTAAGGAGACAAGTTAGCATTTCCACGAATGAAGGTTACTCACTGTTATGGGAGAGGGAGTCACCCTCCCTTGCGCCCTCCTCTTGGTTTATCTCGGATGACAGTGCTGGAAACCTTGGTCACATCTAGATGTGTAGATTGTACAAAAGCTATTTCACTGAAGTGGTGTGCTCAGAGTTGTTTTTATTTTCCTTCAAAGTAATAGTGGAAGTCACAAACTGATATTCCTCATCTGACCTCCACCTAGAATTTTTCTGGGAGCCAGACGTGGGTAGCTTGGGCCACAGGACACTAGGGTTAGTCTGGTTCTTAAATCACCTGTTACAGCTCCATCTGTGTCAGTTGTGGACAGATCTCAGGAGATCGCATCCTCAGGAGACTGCATCAGCAAGACCTCTTTCCTGGGAGGCACTGGTTTTGTTTCTTAGTTATATTTACAAAGGTTTGGGAAAAATCTTAAACATGCTCTTTTAAAAAACCCTTATCTATTAGTACCTGCTTTTGTAACAGTGATTACATTCATTGTAGGGTTGAGGATATACTCTTGGCCAGGCCATGTTTCTATTTTTAAAGTAGAATACAGAATCATGTTCATAAAATAGTTGTGTGGATTAATAAATGACTTTGAGCCCTCTTTAGCTGCCATCCATGTCGAGGACATAGCTCCTTCTCCCGCTAGGGCCAGGCCCAGCATGGTGTGCGAAGGGTTCACTACCCTTTTCCTTAGATGGCTCAGCTCTCAGTGCCTTTCACACTGTATCTGTATTAGTCAGTTTCAGCTAGTGGAACAAAATAGCTGAGGCTAAGTATGTTATGAAGAAGAGATTTGCTTAGCTCATACCCAAGTTTGGGCAGCCCTGTTATTTGTGCTCTGCTGGGTCATATTGCAGCAAGAGGCACATAGCATGAGATCACAAGCCAGGCAGGAAGCAGAGCAGGAGAGGCCGTTCCTCTACCCTGGACCGTGCACACCCTCTGAATCCTGGCCCTCTTCACACTGCCACTGCAGAGACCCTGCTTCCTGGATGGGGACCCTGGGATGTGCTCCTCAGGCCGCAGTGCTCTGTGTCCTTTAATCTCTCTGAAGGCTCCTGCCTGGTCGTTCTCTTGCATTGTGGTTGAAGTACGTTCTCAGGTCTGACTGCAGCTGTCCCTGGTCAGGTTGTGCTGCCTGTGTGTCCATGTCCTAGGGTGGCTTGTTCTGCCCTGCCCTCACTGAGACATGGATGTGGTTCTGGGTGCATTTTGAGGGGTGCACCTGTGGGCCAGAGGTTGGGCTGCCTCTGGGAGGGGTGTGGTGGGGGTAGCTGTCATCAGGTCGAACCAGCACTTGGCACGCCGTGTGGACAGACACCTGTAGGGTACACTTTGAAGTGTGTTCTCACTAGAGCCTTGTGGCTTACAGTTTGTACTTGTTCACATTTCCAGAAATTCTGATGCTGGGGAAGGTGCTGGCTTGTATTATGAGGGAAGTCAGAGTCTTTTATTTGTAAATCAGATTGCCAACCAGAAATTCTCTAGACCTTCAAATTGTTAAAAGATACTTGTGTGTCTATATTGCTTCATGTGGTCAGTGCAGTAACCCAAGGTGTTATGTCAAAACCTGTAGTATTATTGAAATCCTCCTGAGTTGTCTGTGTTGGAATTGGTGTAGTTGATTGCTGATGGGTCATGCCTTGGACAAATGTGAAAACAAAGACCACATGAAAGGTGTGACCAGGGCTGGCCTACCCAATTCCACCTGGCCCCACCCAGCTCTACCTGGCTCAGCTGACCCTGGGCTCAGAGCCTTGTGTGACTGCTGATGACCTCTCATTCTTGGCTGGAGCCTTTCCTCCCTCTGCCATGTCCCTTGTCCTTGGTGATGTGTTTGTGGCCAGGGCTGGGGCCATCTTGAGCTTACAGATGCTCCAAGTCACAGGTGCTGGGCTGCTTTGCTCAGCTGGAGGTGACCACCGGGTCTAGAGCAGGCTCAAGAGAAAACCAGACATGGCAGGGCTGGGTTTCTACCTAACACGTTTGTTCCTCAAGTCTGTAAAATTCCTGATTTGTATTCTTTAAAAAATGTGAATTTGGGGCCGAGGAAATGGCTCAGTAGAATAAGCACTTCCCTGGCAAGCACAAGGGCCTGAGTTCAATCCCTGTTTCTGAAAAAAAAAAAAAAAAAAAAAAAAAAAAAAAAAAAAAGAATTTGGGCCAGCCAAATAGCTCAGCAGATTAAAGCGACTGTAAGCAGCTGCAGGGGCCAGGGGTTTCATCCCTGGGCCTGCTGTGCCCTCCTCGCCCCCTGGGCGTGCTGAGCTGGCGACTGAGACTGGCTGTGGTGGTGCACACCTGTAGTCCCTGCACTCGGGAGGCTGTAAACAGGAGAATCACTGAGTCCAGTCTAGTAGTGAGACCTTGAACACCCTGTAGACCCTCCCTAAAATACAGAAAAAAAAGTGAACTTAACAGTTTCTTGATATCCTAAAATTTTGATGTTTGGTGTCCAGTGAAGAAAATCTTTTTGTTGCAGTTTGTGTTTATTTTTTATTTTTTATTTAGTTTTTGTATTTTAGGGAAGGCTTTACAGGGTGTTCAGGGTCTCACTACTAGATCGGACTCAGCAATCTGCCTGTTTACAGCCTCCCAAGAGCTGGGATTAGAGGAGCGTGCCACCACGCCCAGGCTCAGTTGCCATCTCAGTGCGCCCTGGGGGCGGGGCTGGCACAGTGCAGTTTGTATTTTTGTTCTGTTAAAGTTTTGGTTTTGGATTGAAATGGGCAAGCCATTTTCTGTTCCAGCTGGAAGGAATAGAAAGGAGCAGGAGAGCTGTGCCTCTTCTCAGGTGTCTTCTCCACATAGCCAGGAGCTGTTTACCACTTTGCATCTGGTAGGCCTGAGAAGGACAGAGTTTCTCAGGAGCCTGAGGGGGGCCTCTTGTCACTCTCAAGCACAGACTGTCCAGCCATGGGACAAGCTGCCTGCCTTTTGGCCCAGGGGTCTCTCTGGGAGCCTGGCCTGGAACTCAGCCACGCCATGTCGTGGTCTCCTGGTGTGTGGCTACAAGGATGTTTAAGGCTCTGCTCTACTTTTCAGATGTTTAAACTTAAATATTTGAGATTAAAAGATGAAATCTTCAGTTAGCTGGAGATTGTGGCCAAAATTATTTGTGTTAAGGCTCAGGGAGAAAAGTGTGAACATGTGTTTTTGCTATGAGTACCACTGTCATTTCCAGTTTTCTTAAAGAGAATGTTTTAATGTACTGGATCCGAGCTAAACTCAGTGTTTTTCTGTGTTTTAGATTAAATAGGATTGCGAATCAGGTGGCCATTCAGCGGAAGAAGCAGTTTGTGGAGCGAGCCCACAGCTACTGGTTACTCAAGAGGCTGTCTAGGAATGGTGCACCCCTGCTGCGGCGCCTGCAGTCCAGCCTGCAGTCCCAGAGGAGCACACAGCAGGTAGGTGTGCACACTTGTCTGCTGTGACACCATATGCCCTCCTGCCGGCTGGGTGTGTTCCCAGGAGGGAAGCACAGGGCTTAGGCTAGGCACTGGGCTGTTGGCTAGCGTACTCTGGGTTGGGCAGGTGACCCCATGTCCTGGCCTGGGGCCTTTGGTATTAATTACTGTTCTTCTCCTGTACGTACGGTACACTCTGATAGAACATTTTTCGTATGCCTAGTGCTTGCCAGCTTTGGGGACAGGGTCAGGCTAGCTAAGTGTGCAGGGTGGGGCCAAGGGGAAGGGTAGTTTGCTGGGTCCTGAGCCTCTGAGCCTGGAGCGCCTGGAGAGCCCTGAGAGCTAGGAGCCCCATCCGGGTGATGTGCTAAGGCCCTGATTCCAAAGGTGGGCTCAGCACTGACCATGGGTGGTGCACGGAGTGGTGGGGTGAGAGGGAGCAGATTTTCCCTTCTAAGGGACAAACTCTGAACAGACCCATCATGTCAGCTGTTATTATGGGTCTGTGGAACCACCTGATCTAAAACAGTCCTGAGGGTAGACCTGGAAAGTCAAGAGTTGGCTTCTGTGAGCTGTCATGAGTATACACTGAAAAACAAAAATGGGTTTTCTTTTACATGGTCCAAGACATCTGTGTCTGGCAGCCTCTCTGCTCACTGTTCTCTAAGCAAAGGTGGCCAGTCCTTGGTTGTACCTCCTTGGGCCTGGAGCTAGGGGAACTCAGCCCAGCCTTCTGGCCCAGTGTCACCCTCTAGTGCAGCCCCCAATGCGGGATAGAACTGTCAGACTGCACCCACAAGATAGCGTCTGGGAGTGTCCCGATGGAGCTTGGAGTTGCAGGTGCTGCTGTTCTGGGAGGCTGTGGACGGTGCTGTGGTCTGTTCTGCTGCCAGCGTCCCTGTTCTCAGTGGGACTGTTGGGTGGGACCTGCTCACAGGCGCCGTGGTGCTTGCTGGCCATGCAGTGTTTGGGCCCCACGCGAGCTTCCCTCCACGCGGCATCTGCTGCTGACTGATGCTTGTGCTTCCCTGGAGAGACCACACATCCAGGCCCAGAAGTGGATTGCTTCAGTCGCTAAGTGGATCAGCCTGCGTCTTTCTCCACCATGTCATCAGGCCCTGCTGCTCATCTCTGTACATTCTTTCTTGTGCATGGCTACATCTCCCTGGGCAGCAGGGGAGAGGCCTTGGGCAGGAGGGGCCCTCAGACATAGGGTTGTTGAGTGAGCACCAAGGTGGAGCAATAGCCTGTGGTAAGGGTGGCACTGGCTGGACTGAAGCTTCCATGGTGGTGGAGACAAGGGAAGAGGTCTTGGTGGAAAAAATAGAGTGTGCAGACTTTAGATGTAACTTTCAGCTGTGTGGGGGTGGGGGTGGGGGTGGGGTGGGGACAGCTTTCCAAAGCCAGGGCATGAGCCAGGCCACGAGCCATTCAGCAGATTGCAGAGATGGGGCATGGCTCATGCCTGCAGTCCCAACTCTCTGGGGAAGCTGAGGTAAGACTATTACAAGTTGGGGCGCAACTTGGATAACTTAATAAGACCCTCTCTGAAGATGGAAAAGAAAGAAAAGGGGGGGCTGGAAGGTCGGAGAGGTGGTGATGGACTGCTCGGTCACATGCCCTTGGTTAGGACAGGACCCTCGATATAGAACTGGCCTGTGCCTCTCCTGCACTGAGTTATCCCCAGTGCAGGGGCTTCTGCAGGAACCTGAGCTGTCCTCATGGGGGGCGGTCATTTCCCATCCTCCGTGTGGAGGTGCTCAGCGTTTGAGGCAGTCATAGCCACTGCTCTGCTGCTCCCCCTTCTCAGAGGTTCCCCAAACCCATGTGGTGTCTCCAGCTTAAAGGAGGATAGGCTGCAGATTGCTGGCCACACCCACTACTTCTGAGCGACCCTCACTAGACCAGGCTACATTTCCTTATTAAAGCCAGGCCATGAAAAACCAGTGAGCTTTGCTAATGTACAGACCCACTGGGAGGGGCTCTTGGCCTTGGGGAGCTGTCCCTTACCTCCTGGGTTGCCAGCCCTGGTTTCTGACTGGTCCAACAAGTAGGCAGAAGTGGTATTTGAAGCTCTGGGAATTTGGTTTTCCATATTCACCTTTTGGATGCTGTTGGCCTTGTTTGTCATTGTTACTTCTGATGTGCTGCCTGAGGAGTTAAAACACTGCGGTTCTCCTTGAAGTGGAGGCTGGTTCTCTGGGTGGGGTCATTCCTGAGACTCTTGGCTCCCAGACCCTCCTGTGGCTCCAGCACACTGCAGTCAGGACCTCGGGAGCTCCGTGCTGTAGTGTCCTCTGGTGGGGACAGCAGGCAGAGCAGTCCACAGAGGGTCTGAGGGGGTGTGTGTACCAGAAATAGGACAGTGCCTGTTCTGTGGTGGGATGAGGTGTGGGGCTCTCAGATGTTACTGGCTATGCGGGTAGCAGGTAGAAACATGCTGCAAAGGAGGCTGCTGAGGCAGGAAGGCCTTTGATGGTGACGGCCTGTGTTGGGCTGGGGAGGGCTCTGGCCGTCCTGCCAGAGGTGCAGTGTGTCCCGGCCAGGCTGTCTGTGAGGCCTCGTGGCAGCGTGTGTGGCTGTGGCACTCGTTCTGCTCAGGGACAATGCCTGTGACTGGGCAGAGCTGTCCTCGAACTCAGTCTGTAGTCTAGGCTGGCCTTCCAAGTGCTGGGATTACAGGTGTATGCCACCACACCTGGCTGCCTTGGTGTGGCTTTTGCAGAGCTTTTAATCTTAATGACGGAGTGGAGATGGGGGGTGGAGATGGGCTGGGCTGGTGCGGGCTAGGAGGCTGTGAGGTCTGGGCAGGTATTGCTGGGGACCTAACCGTAATGTCCCTGAGAGGGAAGATAGAGTGGGTGCTGCTGTGGGTGGGGTACTGCAGATGGCATGTGGTCTTCCAGGGGCAGAGTGGGGCCCAGGATGTGGTGCCCAGAGCAGAAGTGCAGGCTGCCTCCACTGTGGGGCAGGCTGGGTGCAGCCTTGTGCTCTCTGTGCCTGGCCTCTCCCCAGCCCCTTGTCGTGTGCCGTCGGGGCGCCAGCAAGGGCAAGTCCAGCTTGTGCGAGTATCTGAGGCCCCTGGCTGGAGAAGTTGGGATGTGGCTGATGGGTATCCTGCCTCACTTCTTAGAGAGAAAATGATGAGGAGATAAAAGCAGCCAAAGAGAAGCTGAAATACTGGCAGCGGCTGCGGCATGACCTGGAGCGAGCCCGCCTGCTTATTGAGCTGCTGCGCAAGCGGGAGAAGCTGAAGCGCGAGCAGGTGAGTCTCCTGGAGGGCCCATGCGTTGGCCAGCACGTCCCCAGTTTTTGGTCCTTGTGTGGTGTCACTACATATGTGTCGGGTCAGGTGAGCCTGCTCTGGTCTTGGAGGCCTTGGAGGGCAGTGCCAGCCTCTGCCTTGAAGGCAGGGTAGCTCTATAGGGCAGGGTAGCTGCAGCGGCACCAGGCATGAGGCTGTATGCTGATGGGTGCGGTGGCATTGTGCGGGGAGGGGGGCATGTGTGCCTGTTCTCGTCCTGTGGTCCCCTGAGATGCTGTGCTGTGGTCCCAGGTGAAGGTGGAGCAGATGGCTATGGAGCTGCGGCTGACTCCTCTGACTGTGCTGCTGCGCTCAGTGCTTGAGCAGCTGCAGGACAAGGACCCTGCCAAGATCTTCGCTCAGCCCGTGAGTCTGAAGGAGGTGCGTGTTGCCATCTGTCCCATCGGTGCCGGGGGTATCCATCACTGGCATGCCCAGTTCTTGTTCTCATGTGATGTGTGTATGTGTAGTCAGCAAGTGACACATTTCATTGTAAGCGTTGAAGGGCCTGGCTGGCAGCCTGCACACCCAGCCCTTGCTGTTGGTGTCGGCTGTGCTTCTAGGAAACGGCCTTGGGTCGGGGGGCCCCTCCAGGGTTGAGGGTGTGTCTGACTGGCCTGGTGTTAGCTGTTTGCACGCAGGGTGTGTGTGGAGTGACTTTCCTGGTTATGTGGATAACAGGTTGGAATCCTGGTTTGTTAATGGTTGTTTTCTTCCCTGACCTCAGGTTCCAGATTATCTGGATCACATCAAACATCCCATGGACTTTGCCACAATGAGGAAGCGGCTAGAAGCTCAAGGGTATAGAAACCTCCGTGCGTTTGAGGAGGATTTTAATCTCATTGTAGATAACTGCATGAAGTACAATGCCAAGGACACCGTGTTTTATAGAGCCGCAGTGAGGCTGCGTGATCAGGGCGGTGTTGTTCTGAGGCAGGCCCGACGCCAGGTGGACAGCATCGGCCTGGAAGAGGCCTCGGGAATGCACCTGCCTGAGCGGCCTGCTGCGGCTCCTCGGAGGCCTTTCTCCTGGGAAGATGGTAAGAACCACTGCCGTGTCCGGCGAGAGCCGGGAGGATGACTTCCTAGCACGTGGCAGCATTCAGATCCCTGCTGTCGTGGGGACGCTGCTGCGGGCCCGGGCTGGGGTGTGGCTCTTATTCTCTGCCATCTGGGAGCCTGGTTGAGGCCCTGCTCTGTCCATGTGCTTGCTGTGGAGACGTGGCCGGTGGCTGCCCAGATCTGGGTGACATAGAGTAGGAAGGCGGCAGAATTTGTGTCCAGAGTAGTACCGGTGGCTTCCAAGCATGGCTTTAGCAGAAGTTCTCGCAGGAACCATCACTGGCAGTGCTGTGGGCCCAGGCTTTGAGGCGTGTGCCTGAGCAGGTCTTCTTCCTGAGGCAGTCCTGCCTCGGTGATGGCCTGTGCTGCCCAGGTGCCCCAGGTGGGCTCTCCCACACTTCGTTGGCTGTCTCCTCCTCTGAGGGTCCTTGGAAACCTTGCTGCCCTCGCGGGTCAAGCCTGGTTAGCACCTACTGAGTGGCATGTATGTCTGGGTTGGTGGAGCTCCTCAGAAATGCTGTTCTTGCGCTTGTGCTTGTGCTAGGTGAAGCCATGGGGTCTGGTGGTTTGTTCAGAGCTCTGCATTTCTGGTCTTGGGCTGCCCTTTTTCCTGGTAAATCACTGATGGGCTGGGACTGGACTTCTGTGAGGTGGCCTGCCCCCACTGCACTTGGCCCAGCCTGTCTCTGTGCTCCTCCCTCATGCAGTGGTTGTGGCCTTGGACTCCATGCCCGCCCCCCTGGCCTCCAGACCCCGTGAGTGGACAGGGAGGGGCCCGAGGCAGCACCTTTCTCAAGTGGCTACACCCCTTGCTGAGTGCATTTCTGCATAGCTGTCCTGCTACCAGGAAAGTAGGGGTGCGAACTCTGCTTTTTTTCTCCAGTGTAGAGGTTGGGTGGAGAGGAGGAGCCCAGGCTCCTAGCGGCACCTGCTCTCTGTCAGTACTGGGCCTGCTGTGATGCCCGAGCAGGTGCAGCAGGGCTGTGGTCCTGCAGAAGAGAGGGCAGTGCTGGGCTCTCTTCCCGGGCTTCAGATGATGTGAGTGTTGCAGGTGGGGAGTGTGAAGTTTTGTTGGCAGCAGTGATAGCATTCGGCTGAAGATAGGTTCTTAGTTTATTTTCTGATCCTGGTTTCTGCATGGATGAAGCGCTTCAAATAACACTTGATTTGTAGAGAACATGGGCTGCTGCTGTGTCTGGGCTGACTTGTGCTGTGTTTTGTTTTTTTCCTCTTGCTCCTGTTCTTTTTTCTGGCTCCTGCTTTTCTCATCAGATAGCTTGAAAAAGTAGTCGCTGTTTGTGGTCACCTTTTGCTAGTTTATGGCAGTTTAGGCTTCAGGGTTGGGAAGTTTGTTGCGGTGGAGATCATAGGATGTTCATAGTAAATATGCTAGGAATTTAGAAAGGTCCGTGGGCTTTGGCAGGATGACATTCGTGACATGCAAAAAGCTCCAGGTTGTCATCTGCACACGTTTTCTTCTATTGCTGGCAGGCCTCCTGTGGCCCACCCTACGCTTGTGGGCTGGCTGAGCCTTGTGCATAAAGGGACCTGGCTGGGTCTGTGATGTGGCCATGCTGCCCCCTGCCCTGTGGCTGTGAGGACAGACCCCTCCCTCAGGAGCTGTGACGTGTGGTTTGGAGTGTGCGAGTGACCTGTGCGTGACCCCAGGTGGCCATGCCAGGCCTTGGCTGAGGAGTGTCAGGGCACCAATGACTGATGCCGTGTCCTCTGATCCAGTGGACAGGTTGCTGGACCCGGCCAGCAGGGCCCACCTGGGCCTGGAGGAGCAGCTGAGAGAGCTGCTGGACAAGCTGGACCTCACCTGCTCCATGAAGTCCAGTGGCTCACGGAGCAAGCGGGCGAAGCTGCTCAAAAAGGAGATCGCCCTCCTGCGCACCAAGCTGAGCCAGCAGAGCCAGCCCGCCCCCGCGGGGCCCAGCCCGGGAGGCTCGGAGGAGGCCACTGCCCCGCCGGGGCCGGACGTGGGCGAGGAAGGTAAGCAGGCACGGGCTGAGCCCGACTCGCTCAGCCTTGTAGGCTCTGTGCTTGTCTCAGATTTGTGAGCCCTGAGGCTGACGAAGCTCTGGTCACTGGGTCCCCCCAGGTCAGTTTTCTTTTGAGGGGACTGCAATCAGTGCCCTTGAGGTGCATGGACTTTAAGGTGCACAGTGACATTCATTTTTGTTAACATGAGCCTGAAAAGCTGTGTAAGAGTTCAGTACTCATTTGATCCTGTGTTGACGAGTAAAGGTGAAGGAAACGTTTTGGTCGTGTTTTGTGAGTGGAGAAAGACTAGATTGTCAAACAGGGCTCTTGGGAATGCTGTTTTACACTGTTAGGATGGAGCCGCTGTGCTGAGGTTGCGGGAGTGGGAAGGACTCGCAGTGCTTTTGGACAGAAGCCGGTGCTGTTGCTCGCAGTCCGGCAGGCCTTCCTGTGAGTGCCCTTGGGATGCTGATGGGGCCCGGCATTGTTGGGGAAAGGCCAGGCAGCGGGGAGGGAAGGGCCGCAGAGAAGCCCGTCTGCCCAGCGGAAGCTAGTGGACCCCGGTTCAGCTGGGTGGTGAGAGCTCAGTGGCGTGTCTAGGTCACAGGAGGGTGGGGGGGGGGGTCGCGCGTGCCCCATTCTGTGTACTCTCTGCTTCCCTGGTGACGATCTGCTTTCAGTTGCAGAGTGGGGATGGAGTGAGACCTGTCTGCCACCATGTTGACAGTTGGGCTTGGCCCATCCAGAGAGGAGTAGAGCATAAAGCAGGACGGATGTAGTTGGTCAGCGTTGCATTTGATCTTTGGCTGTCTGTGTTAGTAAGCCTGGCTCTGCCCTGCCCCTGGAGTGACATGTGTCAGCAGTATGTGAGCCGCGTGGAGTGATGGCCTCCTGGTACTGGCAGGCCTGTAGCTTCCTCTGTACGGGTCTTGATGGTCTGTTGCATGGCGGTGTCAGGAGTGTGTGGCAGGCCAGCGGGCCTCCTTGTCCTGGAAGCTGCCTCGGTGTGTTTGCCTGGGGTTTGTTTCTCGACATGTGTGCAGTGCAGCCTTGTTCTTCCTGTGACACATGGGCTTCCTGTTCTCCATGGAGGAGCATTTGCTCGTGAGACTCTGACTGCCTGACCCACCCAGGACCCTGGCTGCTCTTTTAGGCACTTCTGGGTTCCAGATGGTGTCTTTGCTTGGCTCCCATGGTGGCTGAGCCACTTCTGGGCCTGAGGATGATCCTGACGTCCACTGTCTTCAATCTGTGTGCTCTTGGCTCTGCAGAGTGTGGGTGAGAGAGAGAGGAGCTTTTCTTTCCACCAGTCACCTTCAGTGGAGTAGCCAAACCATGGCCCTGTCCTCAGAGCTGGCCTCCAGCCACACGGGCTTTGCCTTCCTAGTCCTTTCCTCAAAGGTCCTGAGTGTTTGGACTGCGGTTCCTGGATGGAGGACTCTGCCTGCTGCACTCTGGCTCCCCAGGTCCCTCTGCCTCAAGCAGAGCTGGCTGGTGCCTTGTTGCTCTGGAGTGCTGTCTCCATTAATGAAAGTGCGTGGGGATCCCAAGGGAGGTGCCCACAGTGGCCACAGGTTGTTGAGGTGTTTAGTGTGCCTGGGCTTCTCTGTGCTGAGGCGAAAGGCTGGAAAGGAGCAGCCCAGCCCCCTGCTTCAAGATGGGATGGGAAAGAAGATGGTGCTGTCACCCTTTAAGAAGGGATGCAAATCCTGGGCAGAGCCAGCCCCTGGCAGGAAGTGCGTCAGAAACTCTTCCCTGGAGAGGGAAGGTTCCAGCCTGCTCTTTTCAGGCCTGTCTTTTTCTTAAATATTATCCCAGTGTTGTCACCCAAAAGGCAGACCTCCTCTTGGATTGTAGTTACGTATTTCTGTAGGCTCTGTGAGACTTTGCAGAAGTGTGAGCAGGCTGACTGCTGGGTGTGAGGCCCAGCACACCCATGTCAAGGACAGAGACTCCTGGCCTGGTCAGCTTGGTCTGCAGGACCAGGGCCGGGCTGTCTGTGTGCCTCGTGTTGCTGTCAGCTTCCCAAGTGCCTGTGGGCTGAGGGTGAGGCCTGCCTGGTGAGGTGGTGATGAGCCTGTGGGGTGGACTTGGGCTCTCAGGGCCGGCAGGATGGGACAGGGCAGGGCAGGCAGAGCTGGGGGAGTGGCAGGGGACCCAGTGAGAGGCCGATGTCAGCCCAGCACGCTGTGGCACCACCGTGCGTGTAATCGCTTGGTGCTCTGGCTGTTCACACATGCCACGCGGATCAGGCATGTTTCTAGGCATTTCTGTTCCATGTGGGATGCAGTATATGAACTCTGTTCCTTCCTGGCTGCAGAGGACAGAGCAGGAGCAGGTGTGCAAGGCCAGGTGGTTGGCAGTGTGGGTTGGATCACCCTACGTGCTGTGCATTGATGTCCGTGGATGAGACTTGTGTTCTCCTCGTGCGGAGCTTGCTAGAGCAGTTAACAGAGTACTTCTTGTGTGCAGTTAAATATAGCATGGGATGGGTGGTGCAGTGAGCTTTTGGCAAGAACTTGGATAGTGGCAGGTTTCTCCTGGGGAACCTGATGGGCCCTGGCTGGTGGGGTGCCCTGTGTGGAGGATGTTTGTGGGAATCTCCCTGACAATATCCAGTGGGGCGCAGGTGCTGCTGGTTCTCATTTGTGTGTGAGGGAACTGAGGCACAGAGGGGTCTCGTGGCCTGCGGGAGAACAACAGGGAGGAGGTTTTACACCTGCCACCTCTAATGCCCTGTCTGTCCTTCACTTCACAGAGTGCTGTGGGTTGGCACCCAGCAAACCCCAGGGCGGTGGCTGGGAAGCAGGAAGCCTGTGTGCAGTGTGGAGCTGACTGTAGAGCAGGGCAGGGACACAGGGCTGAGTATAGAGGACTGGGCCAGCATTTTGGGAGGCACAGGTCTGGAGTCTGGCCATGGAGGAGGCTCCTGTGGGTGGCAACACGTTCCTGCATGCTGCCCGGGGGAGGAGAGATAGACAGCGTTCTACTCTTGGTAAGAGAGGTGGTTGAGTGCTAGCAAGTTCTTGGCAGCCTTGACTGGGTCCCCATGAGTGCTTTCCTAGTGTCACAGTCAGGGAGTACGCTGACATGGGGAGGAGGGAGAGACAGGCAGACCGAGGTGCCGTGGGGTGGCTCAGCCCCGCCCAGTCCCTGTGCTGCTCCTGCACAGGGCCACAGCCTGTGGACCTGTCCTTGGAAGACCGAGTGGGGCCTGTGCACACTCCCAGCGCTGTGTGCTCAGGACCACAGTGTGCATTGTGAGCATGATTTTCCAAGTGTCAGCAGGGTCCAGCAGGACAAGCAGGGAGCTTCTGTCGGCCTTCATCGTGCTAGTGACCAGGATGTCCCAGGCCCACTTCATGGGAGCTGTGGTCTCCCAAGCTCGACTCAAGTATGAGTCCTGCAGACTCAGGCTTGTGCCTGTTATCTGTGTAGTAGGAGGCTTTGTGACAGCAGGCTCTGTGTTCCCAAGGTGTTGGAGCTGTACCATACAGTGGGCATGTGTGGAACAGGAGCTCTTCCCTACCCATGCTGTGGGAGGGTGGAGTGCCTGAGAGGCTGGCTCTCAACCCTGCATTCTCTTCTCCAGGACGGTTAGGGAGGATTTCCGTGCCCCATGCTTGGAGGACTGACTCTGTTGACTTAGTCACATGACCCAGAGACATCAGTGAGGCTTCTAAGCTTTGTATTTCCAAAATGAGGTTTTGGATTTAAAATGTCATCCTTACATATTTTAGATGTTTTGTGAAAGATTCTTCTTTTTTGGCTGGCTCAGGCTGCCTTAAGGGCAGGTCTAGGGTAGCATGTGGAGCTGGGGATTGAACTGTGGTCCCCTGCGCCTGACTGAGTTGGCCAAGCAGGTGCCTTAGACAAGTGAGCTAACCAGCAGGCCCCAGATGTTTTGCGAGAAGTTTGCAGCTTTAATGAAACTATCGCTAGTGATGCTGTACACTCCTTTAGCTTGCTCAGACTGTTACTTTGTTTTGTGTCACACTTCTCGCCAAGGTCAGTCATGCTTAGAAACCCAGTGACCTTGCCCAGCGTGGCCTAACCTTACTCTGCATGCCCGTCCTATCACTTGTGTTTGTAGTGTGTGAAGCCACTTGTGCTCTGGGTCATTTCAAGTTGCGTTTTTTTTTTTTTTTTGTACCAGGCATAGAACTCAGGACCTTGTGCTTGCCAGGCAGATGCTGTACCCCTGAGCTATATCACTGGCAAGTTGGTAATTGTAGAATGACTTTTTTTGGGCTGGCCGAATAGCTCAGCGAATTAAAGCTCTTGACTCAGGGGCAGGGAGTTCAATCCCCAGTTCAGTCCTCCGTGCTGGCCCTGCCCCCAGGGCGTGTTGAGACTGGGTGTGGTGGCACACACCTGTAATCCTGGCACTCCTGAGACTTTAAACAAGAGGATCATTGTGAGTCCGATCTATGCAGTGAGACCCTGTAGACCCTGTCCTAAAAATACAACAAAACAAAACAAAACAAAATACAACAACAACAACAACAAAAAAAAACCCTTTTTAAAAAGAGGTTAGAATATGCTGCTTCTGAAGACTGGGTTTTAAAGTCAGATAGGTAAACAAAGCTTTTGGGAGAGCCGCCTGGAGCTGTGTAGGCATATGGGGTTGGTGACTAGCCTGCCTGGCCACTGAGCTCCTTGCTTTGGGCTCCTTGGAGAGTTCCACTCAGGCCGACATGAGCCTTGTCCTGTGAGGTCTGCTCGCCTCTGCAGTGCAGAGTGCAGGGGGAGCTTGCCCGCCCCTTCATTCTGTGAGACTGTTGTCCTCAAGGTAAGTGAACGCAGGTGGTGGATTGCCTTGGACTCAGAGTGCTACGTGTAAATATTGGTGTGTGTGAAATATATGCTCACACTTTCTCCAGAGTAACTTTGCACCTGGGCGGAGGGCCGGAGGCCTCAGCCTTTGATTAGGGAGATGCACACAGCGCATGACCCAGGGTGACCCAGCAGCCCCAGGGCCGCTCCCCGCTCAGCAGACGGTTGTGTGCGATGCTTTGTTTCCTTAATTGAATTAGTATTTTGGTGGACTTCACATTTATAGTAAGTTTTATAATAGATTTTATAATCTTCAGTTTTCAAAAATCACTTTATTTATAATTTTTTCAGGAGATAAATCTCCCCCTAAACTTGAACCATCAGATGCATTACCTCTTCCTTCAAACTCGGAGACTAATTCAGAACCACCAACCCTCAAACCAGTAGAACTCAACCCTGAGCAGAGTAAACTATTCAAAAGAGTCACATTTGATAATGCATCACATAGCCCATGCACTCAGAGCGCACTGGTAAGCGGACACCCTCCAGAGCCCACCCTCGCCAGTAGTGGCGATGTGCCGGCGGCTGCGGCGGCCTCCGCGGTGGCGGAGCCATCAAGCGATGTAAACAGACGCACTTCTGTTCTCTTCTGCAAATCGAAAAGTGTAAGCCCCCCAAAGTCTGCCAAGAACACTGAAACCCAGCCAACTTCTCCTCAGCTAGGGACCAAAACCTTTTTGTCTGTAGTCCTTCCAAGGTTGGAGACTCTACTGCAGCCAAGGAAAAGGTCGCGGAGCACATGTGGAGACTCCGAAGTGGAGGAGGAGTCCCCGGGAAAGCGCCTGGACACAGGTAAATGTCAGGCAGACCACCTGCGTGGTGTGTGCCGCCTGCCTGTGGGCATCTCTGGTGTAAATCTTGTCTTTGGTGCTGAGCTTTGGTGTGCAGCATTCTCTTTAATTTCCAGAGAAGATGAGCCATGTTCTTTTGTCTTTGGAGTCCTAGATTGTAGGGCCGGGTTGGTGTCTTTGGGGGACGTGACTGTGTGGCTCGGGCAGCTCCTGATGCTGTGGTGGCCCTGGCCTGTTCCTCACTGGCCCCTCCTTTCTCTCTGGCCTTTGAAGCGTCGAGCTACTCTCATCTGGGGGTTGGTTCGGAGCCTTGAGTGGGTGCGTGTGCGTGTGTGGTGCACTGTGCCTGGGATTCCCCTTCTCAGGGGATCTCTTGGAGCTCCCGGGCCCGAACCCAGGCCTCAGCTCGGGCCTTTGACGCTGCGCTGCTGGGGCCCCATGAGGGTTCTGTCTTTGTACAGTGCTGCACTGTTATTGTCACTGTTGGGTGACACTTGAAGGTGTTGCTGCGTGACCGCTGAGGTTTTGAACCTCTACAGTGGCTTGCTGGTGTACTGGGAGCTTCCACACGTGTTCTCAATACATTTTGCATCTGGCACTTCCATGAATTGCTCCACATGAAATTGGAGGAAGCCACCCGGCTCTTCGCGCCTCTGTTCCTGAGCGCTCCGATGAAAACCATGCGTTCTCTGTGTGCTCTGAGGAGTGGCTGCCATCTGTCCACTCACTGTGGGGTGGCTATGCCTTTGAGAGGTGCCAGGGTCAGAAACCCAGCCTCCCTGTTGTGGCTACGTGTCCCTTTCGGTGTGTTCTCTGTCCACTGCCATACCTAGATGACGAGGTGCCTTGAGCTGGTATGCTAGCACCCCATGCATTCCAGCAGTGAGGGCGTGGGCCAGTGCCGTGTCCTTTCCCGTGCTGGGGTCCCAGAGCCTTGCCAGGCCAGTGAGGTGGCAGCGTCTGCTGGCGACCCTCCTCGCTCGCCCTTGCCAAGCCTCCTGATCTTAGGCGTCACTCAGGCGTCTTCGTGCTGAGTGTGTGGCTTGTGTGGCCGGTTAGGCTTCTTGTTTCCAAGATAATCCTTCCTTCCTTCTTTTCCTCGTTTCCTTCCTTCTCCCTCTCTCCCTTGCTCTCCCATTGTGTGCCTCCACCCCTTTGAACCAGGGCCTCTTGATAACTTTCGTTTTTCTTTGCACATTACTTTTGTAGAAACTTTCTGTCGAAGTCCTCTTACTTTGATGGATTGATGTTAAATTTGCATTTTAAAATCTGATAACTTTTTTTGTTACTGAGACATACAAAGCAACTGAAATGTTTCAGAGGATGTAGATGAAGAGAGAGCAGATTTTTTTCAGTTCTCTTAATTGCACTTCAGGCCTTTTTGCAGCCACTGTGAGGGACAGACTGCCTTGGGCGGTGCTCCCTGGACCCCTACCATACGTTAGTGTATCAGGCCTCTCTGCACATGAGAGTGAGTGTGAGGGTTGGTGTTGCCTCTTGGGGCTTTGGGCTTTGTGGCTGTGGGGCACTATAAGGCCCAGGACACTGTGGACCAAAAGTCTGTGCTGCAGGGCTGCTGTGCTTCTCCCAGGCCTGGGTGTCACATCTCACCCTGGGTAGCTTCCCAGGGTGGCCCCCTGTTTGGGCTCAGCTTTGGACATGGCTTCTGGGCCATCTCTGACTTGTAGACCAGATGTTCTTTACAGGAAGCAGGTGCCCACCCTGTTCTCTTCCTGTGTTTACATGGGATGTGTCCCAGGTTTTGGTGGTGGTGAGGTGTAGTGCCATCTACTGCAGACCTTTAATACTTGTGACCGCAGTGTGCCTTTGATCCTGACTGAAATGGAGATTTTTGCTTTCTTATTCCAGAATGGCAGTAGAGTTCAGTGGATGCGAGTTGAATTCCTAAGCGTACCCCTGAGCAGCCCGGGAGCCTTAGCGCTAAGATCAGACCCTCAGGAGCGCGAGGTGGCTGCTGCTGCATCTACTCTGCCCAGGGCGGCCAGGCTCGGGCTGGAGATGCCAGTCCCGCCATCGTGCTGGCCTTGCCTTCGCCCGAACGTTAGGTGCCCTCTGTGCACCTGGATTTCTTGCTCAAGTTGCACTCTTCGCAGTTGGAGGACATGAAATGTTTGGAGCCTTCCGAGCTTTTCCACATGCTTCCACCACTCTGAACTTATAGGGCTGGTCTCCAGGGCGCTGAGGACCCGCGTTAGATTGAGCGCCGTGCTGACTGCCTCCACGTTCTGCCAGCCCCTGTGCTGCAGTGGGAGAGGCTTGTGAAGGCCCCCGCCCGCCCAGGCTCACGGAGCCACCCTGCCCGTAGCTTCCTTCCTCGGGGATGGTGGACTGTCAGGGGTGCCGCCACCTACTTCTTCCTCTGAGACTTGGTGGAGGTGGTTGTGAGGGGGTGGAGCGAGGCGGGCTGGGTCTTCCGAGCCTCCGGAATGTGCGCCGAGGAGGCTGTTCTTGTCCTGTACTTCCTCAGACTATGTGGCTTCTTGATGTTCTCCCAGTTCTCACTTAACCGCTTACGTACCGGGTAGCTCCTCCTCGGATCCAAATTCTTTTCTCTTGCCTCGACTTGGACTGGTTCTGCTCACAGCCTCGTGGGATGCAGAGCGCTGACTGCTCCCTGCCCTGCGTGATGGCACTGGAGCCAACCTCAGAAGAACGCCGACCGCTCCTGGAGACATGGCGGGCTCCCACGGGGACTGGTGCCCTCCTTGAGCTGGGGATGGTTCAGTGCTTCCGCCCTCTCCAAGTGGGCAGCCTTGCGAGTGCCAGCAAAGCGCCGTGCACAGTCTGAGCTCCACGCTGCACATGCCCAGCACTGGCTGTAATGAAGGGACTCTTCGTAGGGCAGCCTTGTCTGACGTCTGAGGGACTGAGCCCGCGGCCCCGTTGGAGATGTCCTCACTTAGCCGTCAGCACCTCCACCTGTCCTTTCTCCCTGCCTCCTTCTCCCTAAGTCTCTTTCCTTTATTCTCTCCGGGATGATGAGCAGCGCCGACTTCTGTCTTGCTGATGCTGTGCTGAGCAGCGCCAGCCGGGCCAGCTGATGAGTCCTGTCCACGGGACCCCCAGAGACGTCCTACGCGGGCTGTGTCTTCATGGAGCTTCTCTCGTGAAAGCAGGCAGTGGTTGGGGTCTTCTTGTCTGCTGTACTTTCACTGAAAGTTTGAAAAGTATACCACAAACCAATGCAGTTCTCTGGGCAGTCGCAGAAGTGAAACAAGCCAGCAGAAGAGGACAGGTGCCACCCACCCACCCTGCCATGCTCGTGCCCCTGCAGCTGGGAGTAGAGCGTGTTTTCTGACGCCCAGGACATCACGGCCCGCCACAGTCACCAGGGCTTTCGTACTTGCTCCTCCTGCAAGCTTAAGCACAGTGGCAGCTATAGGCCAAGTGGCAGGTGCAGGTGTCTCATCTGCACGGCATGAGCTGAGCTTTCCTGGTGTCCCTTCCTCGGTGGGTGCCTCACGGAGGCTGTGAGCGAGGTGGGGGGCAGTTCCTGCCGCCAGCTTCCCACGCCCTGGGGCGCTTTCCCTACTATCCCCCAGGATTTCCTAGGCCAAGGGCAGCAAGGAGCCTACATCCCCTGAGGCTGGACCACATAAGATTTGTGTCCTGCTCCTGCGTCGGAGCTGTTGAAAGAGCAGAGAGCCCCTGGGGATGCTGTGGCCATGGGTGGGGAGGCACCTCTGGGCTTGGCTGCACCTGCCCTGAGTCCCTGGCGAGTAGGATGTGGCCTGGGGGCTTCGCAGGCCCCAGGGCTTGGTGGCGCATGGTGCTATGGTGTTGGCCCTTTCTAGAGCTGTCTCCACAGTTCTCCTGGCCTCCCAGTGACTGCCGGCCCTGTCACGTCCTCAGCGTCTAGCTGGCTGCTGCTGGCACAAGTGCCTGTTTTGCGGGTGCTCCTCCACACCTCCCAGGACCAGGGCTCCTGACTGTGGACTGAGTGAATGTCTTTTCTGGCCCTCAGGGTTGCTGGGGTTCAGTGAGCCCCACGGCCGCAGTACTCTGAGGCTGCCTTCCCCACTAGGACCTGTGCAAAGTGTGTGGCAGTGAGTGCGCTGTATCGCAGCTCTGCGGGCTCCAGACAGCATTGCACAACCTCTCCACACCGGGCTTGGATCTCCTGTCACCTCTTGGGACTCGTCCAGGGCCGGCAGCCTTCAAGAGCCTGGCCTGGCCTGGCTGCATGGGTGCCTGCCCTGCTTCAGCTGCTGTGCCCTTCCAAAACTGGCCGGGCGCCTGGGCTCTTCTGTCACCAGCCTCAGGGGTCTTTCCTGGACTGTCCCTTGGGCTGTGTACGTGCTCAGGGAGCCTCCACAGAAGGAGTGAAAGCTCTTTGTAAACCTCTTGTAGCCCAGATCCATGAGCCCAGTCATTAAATGCTTGGAAAACAGGAGATGCAGATCATTCTCTTCTTCCTCAGTTGCCAACCTTCTCGCCCTTCTCTGCTCCCTCTGTGTCAGTGTGGGCCCCGACCGCACCTTGGGGTGGAGCGGCTGCTACCCTTGAGGGGGATGGTGTCCATGTGTGCTGGGCCATGTAGGTGGGAAGCATGAGGCTGCTTCAGGGCAGGCTGTCCTGGTCTTCATCTTCTGCAGCTGCCTGCCACCTGATGTGTGGGTCAGGCTGGCCACCGCTCTGCCCTGGTCCTCCCCAACTGACCCTGATAGCCCAGACTGGGTAGGAGACAGCACTCGGCCCTGACCGACCATGTTTCTGTTCTTCTCTGGCTCCGTCTGCTCAGCCTGCAAAGAGCTCTGCACTGGAGTCTTGGGGGGGGGGTGGCATAGTACTGTGAGAGGCGCATGTCTCCCGGCCCTGGGTGTGTGCTTGGGCTTTGGAGTGGTGGAGGCACGTGTGGTGTGGCCTACTTGTCCGAGACCTAAATGCTCATCTGCAGAGCTGTGTGTGTAGGTGACTCTGGTGTGTTATGGTCCCTCCCCAGATCCTGCGTCCTAGGGCATTGACTTTGTCAGTCTGTTCATCCTTGTTTCATGGGCGTCTTAATGATGCAGCTGAGAGTAGGGTGTGGTCTCTGCCCCTAGGACACGCCATCTGACCATTGTGACAGCCTTGGGCTCAGTGGTCCAGCTGCTTTCCTGCCCATGTTACCCACTTTGTCAGTGCACGATTGTTGGAGGCTGGCAAGGACCGGCCTGTGTCAGCATGGTGGGAGCATTTCCTGGAGGGAAGGTGGGAAGGTGGAGCTGTCCCAGTGCTAGAAGCCCCAAGATCCCATCACTGGAGCCAAAAGCTTTTCTGAGAAGTTTTATTTACCAGTTTGCACATTTCCCTTTGACATAGTTTTTTAATTACCTTTTAAAGGCTGACAGAAGTGGGAAGATGGGGCTCCTTGTCCTGACCCCTCGCCCGGCGGTGTACCTGAGGGTGCCTAGCTAGGCGTACAGCTGGGGGTGCTCAGCCTCACCTTCCAGGCTGCCACCTTGTTCTGCTGCTACAGACAGCTCTGAGGTCGCCTTGCTTGAGTGCTCTTCCCAAGAAGACTTGGTGTAGCTGTCTATGCCGCTGGCCAGACCCTGATGGCAGGAGCACTAGCCTGGGTGCCTCCATGCAGTAGATCTGTGGGACCTGGATTAATGGGGCCCTCATTTTCTATTTTTGAAGTATTTTGTCAGCATTTTTCAGGTTCACATTAATTTGTGTGTTTTGAAGCAAGCTTTTTTAAAAAACCCTAATTTACTTTCCCCAGAGCTTCACAAATATGAGTGTGTTTTTATTGGTGATAATGCCCTGTGCCTATGGGCTTGTGACCCTTGTGTGGTCAGGGAGCCTCTGCCACAGTCCCCAGGGGCGTGTGATGTGGTCGTCAGCTGGGCAGGGGACCTGGGGCCTTGGTATGCCCGCGTCTCCTTGGTGCGCCTGCTGTTCCGTAGCGCAACCCACTCCACTGCCCTTGGTCGTTGTGTTGCTTTCATTCCACAGCCACTGCTTTGTGTGTGGAGCTCAGTGCCGGGGACCCAGGGGCTAAAGACAAAGACGGTGTCAGGTGCGCAGTGCTGCTGGGAACGCGCACCCCACACCTCATGGACTTCAAGATGTGGCGTGGGGACAGGTTGGCGTGCAGCTGCTCTGCTCAGCTGACCACGCTTGCCTGTGTATTCCAGGTCTCACCAATGGCTTTGGGGGCTCCAGGAGTGAGCAGGAGCCGGGCAGCGGCCCGGGGAGGAAAGCCACCCCCCGGCGTCGCTGTGCGTCCGAGTCCAGCATCTCTTCCAGCAACAGCCCGCTCTGCGACTCAAGGTGGGCACCACCTCGCCTACGCCTGCGCAGCCTCCGAGCGCCCCCTGCTCTCAGCACCCGTCTGGCTGCTCTGGACCCAGGGGTCCTGGCTCCTGACCTAAGGGCCCTGAGAGAGCCTGGCCTGGGATCCGATCCATGTGTCCACTCTGCCTGGTAGGACGGTTTCCCGTATGATGTCTTCACCTGCTTCATAGCATTTAATTGTGAATGGGAATGAAGCTATGCAAAGCTTGGCATGGTTGCAGAGTCTGCAGATGCACCCATCCCTCCAGAGTCTTGCCTTTGCCAAGATGGTAGTCAGCACAGCCCTGCCTGCCTGCCTACCTAGTGGGGGTCCCTTTGGTGGCTGGACACGGTGGTGAAGACCACCCTGGTCACGAACAGACCCCACTTGCAGGTCTGGCCCTGGGATGTGAGGCACACTGTTCTTGGCCCAGCCTGCTGGTCCTGGTTGGCAGCTGCATGGCTCAGCCTGGGTCAGGGAGAAGTGCGGGTGGGCACTTGGCCCCTGACAGGACTCCTTTTCCCCACAGCTTCAGCACTCCCAAATGTGGGCGCGGCAAGCCCGCCCTCGTGCGGAGGCACACGCTGGAAGACCGCAGTGAGCTGATATCCTGCATTGAGAACGGCAACTACGCCAAGGCAGCCCGGATTGCAGCTGGTGAGTCCACTGTAGGCCCCGGTTAAGGTGCCGAGGGTGGCGGTGGTCCAGGCTTAGTGGTTCTGAACTGAGCCTTCCTCATAGGGGAGTCTGTGGCCCTGATAGTATCCACAACCAGAGGCTGGAGTCAGGGTGCTTGGCCTTGCTCCAGGATACTCCACTTCCAGGTGGTTCCTGGCCCTCTGCCTGTCTGCAGCTGAGGCTGGACAGCAGCCAAGGCCCTCACAGCAGTGTTGCTTAGCCGTCTTGGGCCTAGATTCTAGGAGGAAATGGGGCTTCCTGAGATGGCCCCATTGGGGGAGCAGAGTTGGGAAGGGGTGAGGGAGGCCTAGTTAGGTGCAGAGTGCCTGGAGGGGCCTTGGCCCTCTCCTCTCCAGCGCTTGGACTTAGTGGCTCTGGAGACAGCGCCCTCTGCTGGGGTAGGCAGGGGCTGTTCTTTGGAGGCAGCTCGGACTTGTGGGTTTTTTAAAAATTTTTATATTTTTGTGTGTGTATGTGTTTTAGGGAGGGGTCTACAGGGTGTTCAGGGTCTCACTACTAGATTGGACTCATAGTGATCCACCTGTTTACAGCCTCCTAAGAGCTGGATTACAGGCGCACGCCACCATGCCCAGTCTCTATTGCCGTCTCAGTGCACTGTGGTGGCGGGGCTGGCACTGCAGGCCCAGGGACCAAACCCGTGGCCCCTGAGCCTGCTTGCAGGTGCTTTAATCCGCTGAGCTATTTGGCTGGCCCTAGGACTTGTGTTTTGAATCAGAGGCCTTACCCACACACTGTGTACCTGTCACTGGCTGAGAGCCTGTTCATGGGGGCAAAAGGGCATATTGGGAGGTTGGGTGCCTGGTGGCCCTGGCTTGGCACTGGAGAGGGCGAGGGGGGCCTGGGTGCGGGACAGCACTCACTGCCAGGCACTTCCCTTCCCAGAAGTGGGGCAGAGCGGCATGTGGATCTCCACGGATGCCGCAGCCTCCGTGCTGGAGCCGCTGAAGGTGGTGTGGGCCAAGTGCAGCGGCTACCCCTCCTACCCCGCGCTGGTGAGTCCGTGTCCCCAGGGCTGCTCCTCAGGCAGGGACCCCTGGCTGTGCTGCTGGGAGAGGGTGGCTCCTGGGGAGTGGGCAGCCTTGGGCATGAGACCCAGAGTAACGAGTATGTCCTCGGCAGATCATTGACCCCAAGATGCCACGCGTGCCTGGCCATCACAATGGCGTCACCATCCCGGCGCCACCCCTGGATGTGCTGAAGGTGGGCGAGCACATGCAGACCAAGTCCGAGGAGAAGCTCTTCCTCGTTCTGTTCTTCGACAACAAGAGGAGCTGGTGAGTGCGGCCGGCTGTGGGTGTGCACCCACCTCGGTTGTTGGTGTTCGTTGGGGCCAGGAAGGGTGCTGCACATATACTGAGCCCGTGGGCCCGGGGACCCCTGTCGAGCCTGGTTAGTCCCATCTTCCTCAGGGAGGCTGCCCGTGGCCCAGCCCTGTCTCTTGGGGCCACCACATGCTGCCCCTGCACAGGGCAGGCCGACCTTGGGCTCTGCCTGGTGCCAGCACCCTCCTATCTCCGGTCCCTCCTGCGCCCTGCGAGATGTGCGTGCTCCGCTTGTGCTCACTGTGGGAGGGCACAGCGCCCTGGCACTCCTCTGGCCGGGGCACTCATGCCCTGGGCTGCACCCTGCCCAGCAGACGTGCTGCTCTGGGGCGCGTGGGCCCACGTTATGCACTCGAGTGCTCCGCTTGTCCTGTGCGGCCACGGGGGACTGTTGGAGGGAGGGAACGGGAACTCAGCTCCGATGCCACGTGTGGGCTCCAGGGAGGGCAGGCAGGATGCCACGTGCTGCCTCTGTGGCCAGCGCGGCTGAGGGCCAGGGATGCCTTGCAGCTGCACTCACCGCCTGCTTCTTTCAAAAGGCAGTGGCTCCCCAAGTCCAAGATGGCTCCCCTGGGCATCGATGAGACCATTGACAAGCTGAAGATGATGGAAGGGAGGAACTCCAGCATCCGCAAGGCCGTGCGCATCGCGTTCGACCGAGCCATGAACCACCTGAGCCGCGTGCACGGGGAGCCAGCCAGTGACCTCAGCGACATAGACTGAGGCGGCTCTGCCGGAGGAGCTTGTCCATAGTGTTGATATTCTGTACATGTTTGTATATTGTTCAGATTTAACTTATTCTGATTTATAGTTGTAGTTCTTGAATTCTTTTTTCCCCAGGGAAGGGGTAGGTTTTGTTTCCGAGTTTTCTACGAAGCCACCTGGTCCTGGCACTTGGGTGGGCATGCGTCTGGGCCTGCCATGCGGGTGCCTCCCCTGCCGCCATGCGCCTCCCTTCTTTACCTGTAGCTTTTTTTTTTTTTTTTTAAAAAAGACTTTTGAATGTTTAATAATTTTGTAAATCATACTCTTTACACAGAGTACCACTTATTTAATAAAGCAGGATGTAAATTTACAGTGACAAATGTGTATTTTAAGAAAGAAAATGACCTTATTTTGAATGGTACTTTGTGCAGAGAGGAGGAGAATCCCTTAATGCTGTGTGCACCACTCGCAGACCACCAAAAACACTCCCCGGTGACGCCGGGCGGCCCGGCCGCGCACCTGCCACAGATGTGCCTCCCTGCGGGTTATTTATTGTAGAAAGTGTATTCATTTGCTTTATAAAGAAAAATAAATTTGCAGAAGTATATTGATAACGCATTTTTATACAGGCACATTAACAGCTTGACGTGTTCGGGAGCAGGACGTGTGGCGTGGTTCTATAAATGACTCTGGCCTGTGTGTACTTTGATTTTGTAACTTGTAATCTTTTGTTTACAATGAGGGGCTTTCTGTAACTTGTTTTAATTTAGAACTTTGGTAGCAATAGAACTTTGGATACATTTTTGTATGGTACATGTGATGTATATAGAATTAGTACTTTATTTTTATTTTTAAGAGGTGAAGCATTATGTTAGGGGGTGAGGTAGGGTGGGTTTCCAAATTTGCATTTTTTATATTAAAAATAAAGTCAATATTTGGACGGTGTAGCCCATTCCTGCCTACATCACAGGAGGCTGGGACGGCGAGGGTGCAGGCAGGCTGTGGCTGACGGGTGTGTGAGGCACCTGGGCACCTTGGTCTGAAGCCTGCCTTGGGGTAAGGTTATTTGTTACTCTCTCTGATCACATTTTATTTTAATGCTATAAAATACGTTCCTTGAAGCTGAGTTGTAGTATTTTCAGGGAACTGGGAAGTAAAGTCTTCGGTAATTAGGCTGCACAGGCTTGACAGGCAGGGGTGCTGGCTGGAGGGAGGCCTCCAGACCCCTCAGGAGGCCTGTTGGCTGAGTGTTGTGTCACGTTTGGAGGAGTGCCTCCATGGGGAAGCTGGGACCCTGCTTGGCGGCTTCCCTCCTCTTAGACCAGGCATGCTGGTTTGAGGAGGTGGTCTTCAGAGCCGGATGCTGGGCCCTCAGCCTGTGCTCCGGCCGAGCTGTAGTAGTGGCCTGCCCTGGGGCAGGGTGGGGGTAGCCCAGGCTGTGGGGAGTGGGATGGTCGCTTGGGCAGCTGGCCTGGTTGGAGCCTCTGACCTGGCAGTGGCTGCTAGCCCCGTGCACTCACCTCCTCCTGGGTGCCTGGCTGCCGCAGCACCTGCCATGCTGTTGTTCCCAGGCGCCCAGGACCCTGTGTCAGCGCTGCAGCTGGACGTGGTGGGTAGCACCCTCATCCTGGGACTGGGCTTCAGACCCCCACTCTGGTGAACTAGGTGTCTTGCAGGGCGAGGTGCCCATCCTGGGGCCCAGAGAGTGTGCCCCATTCAGTGTGGTCTGGCTGTCCGGGTTGACCTGTGTTGCAAGGGGCCTCTTGGGAGAGGCCGTTAGAGGAGGGTCAGGTTGTTGCTTCCATTAGGTGTCTGGTGTCTGGCCTGTCTCCTTGGTGCTTACCCTTCTAGGTTTAGGAGGATGGGATCATGGGGCCACAGTCCTCAGCAGCTTCTTGGCTGAGGGAGTATTTTAGGCGTGGTACAGCCCTGGGCCGGGCAGCCTGGGCCTTCATGGGCCAACACCGACTCCTAGCTTGACAGGTCTGTCGGTCATTGCCAGTCTCAGGTACCAGAAGCTGGCTCCAGAGGACAGTGGCCTTGCCTGAGGTCATGCAGAGGGCTCAATACAGAGTCAGTCCTTTGGTGTATCCCTGAGGAGCACGTGGCAGGGGGACAAGGGAGTGA